GGCAAAGACCGACAAGTCGTTGTGTCTGGTCAAAAGGTGAACGGTATTGATGTGGATTTGTCAGGTAACAAATATATTTGAAAATTTTCGATGATAACAATTTAATATATTCCTAACGAAAACATTTATTTGGAGCTCGCGCAGTACTTCTGTTTTTCGCCATACAAAAACGTAACTTACATCTCTGCTTATCTTGTTACAGATTGTCGTTTGTATTGGACGAATCGTGTTGAAAATCAAATACGTGGAAGTAGTTTTTCGGGTTCTGACGAAATAACAATTGCCAATTCGACATCATTACCACAATTGACAGAACCTGTTGACGTGAAATCACTTGGAGGATACCTTTATATCTGTCTCTTATACACATCTTATCCCTCGCCACTGAGGAAGGACTAGTGTTGTCCGAAAGCTCTGGTTCTATTTCTGGCTGTTTACTTACGTTTACTTTTTAGCTGTTGCTTATCATTTTTGTATCTCTACTGAGATCCAGCCATTGTTTCCCACAGCATTGTTGTTTTCCAGTATTTTGCTTTTTAATCTATATATATATATATATATATATATATATATATATATACATATATATATCAGTCGTTGAAACAAAAAATTATGACAAAGAATGTACATGCCTTGTCATAATTTTTTATTTCAACTACTGATATATAATTTTAAGAACAAATTTTATATATATATACACACATATATATATATATATATCGAATAATAATAATAATAATGATAATAATAATAATAATAATAATAATAATAATAATATTGTCATCGTCATTATCATTAACATTAACATTATCATTAACATTAACATTATCATTATTATTTATTATTATTATATTATTTTTAATGTTAATATTATTATTATTATTATCATTATTATTATTATTATTATTATTATTATTATCATTATTTTTGTTATTATTATCATCATTATCATTATTATTATTATTATTATTATTATTATTATTATTTTATTACCGGGCGGAAATGGTTGGCATATAATGGTTATTGTAAGCCTACTTGACGATCGACATACCTTGTACAGTATTAATATTTCAGACATTCACTCAAATCAAATAATATCAACATGTTTCAATAAAGCCATCAAAAGTTACGCACTCAATCTCGCAGCCAACAGCATATAAAGCCTAACACGTGTAATTGAATCAGATAATTAATTTCAATTTATTTCAAATACTGAATCGTATATCCATTATTAGTAAATTACAAATAATAACATTGATATCCAAAGTAAAGGAAAGTATAATAGCTAGACACACATTACATTATTATATGGCGCTCTGATAACAGCGTTCGTGAGATAAGCTTATAGGATGCTATAACAATCACGTATTCCATTATTATTGACGCAGCAACTTGTGGGCGCTGAATTAGAAATCAGAGAGACACTTTTGTCGTCAGCACTTGTTGATGTTACGCCCAAGCTATTAATTAAAGCGTCTACGCAGAATTCTTAACGTTTAGTCGGTGAAATTGACGTTTATTGGCTGAGAATATAATTTTGCTTCCAGAGTTTCCTCATCGCTGATTTTATCATTTCACAATTCGACTGACGCACGCCTCATTAATACATATTTACTTTACAGTTGAAACAAACCATGGTATGGTGTTTTCACAATAATGGTATACTATTAAGTTTTGTTTCAGTGAATTCTGCTTGACTAGCGACATATTTATTTATAACGTGCAAAATATTGGTGCAGGCCTATTTTGAAATATGTACATGAGCAATCCGCGAGTAGGCGCCATGGAAGTGAATGTATCTCATTGTCCAGATGTACTAGAAATGGAACCAAAGCCAGAGAAAACGGAAATAGATCGTGACAAGGGTGCCGCAGATTGTTCAAAACCTGTCTACAATCTCACAGATTTTCTGGAATCAACGACCATGCACGGTGTGAAATATACAACTAGGAACCACAGTACATCAAGGAGGTAAGCTATTGTATTATTATCATCATCATCGTCGTCATCATTATTATCATCGTCAAAATCATCACCATCATTCCCATCACCAACACCACCACTACTACCACCACCACCATCATCACCACCATCGTCGTCATCATCATCTTCATCATTATCATCATCATCATCATCATCATCATCATCATCATCATCATCATCATCATCATCATTTTCATCATCATCATCAACACCATCATTATCATCATCATCATCATCATCATCATCAATGGAGTAGCGATGGGGCAAGGGGCCTTGTGGCTTTTCGAGACTCGGACTTGTTTGGTCCCGCCGATTGTCATTTACATTGTTGACTTTCAAAGTTGCTCCTTTTTAATGATGTTTGTCATTATATTGTAACTGCTTTAACGACTAAATAAATGACGTGATATCAGTGGCGTATCCAGGAATTTGAAATAGAGGGCTCAGGGAGAAATTTTAACTGATGAAGGGATGATAGATCTATACCAAGCCGCCACTAAATACAACAGGCGCGGATCCAGAGTACACTGACAATTGCACAGATGGGGCCCCCGGTGGACGGGGTCATGAGAAGTGAGCTTGATTTGTGGAAGACAAATTTTAACAGAAGAGATAAGGATGTGAGGGTCTAGGGGTCCTTCTTGGGAAAGTTCTAAATGCTTAGAAATTCATTTTCCTGCATTCTGAGACGTCAAATAATGAATAAATACACTCCGAATTCATAGTTTTCAGAGACTGATTCAGGAATTTAAAATCGAAACTTTCACAGTTAC